CTTTTTTCGTCAAATTTCTGTTTCTCTCTGCGTTTTTCACGTCCATTACATTGTATGCCCACAGTAACCTTAAACATTCCAACTTTCTTGCATGATAAGTGGCGTATTCTCCTGGGTCGCATTTGCTCTCTGCTCCTTTACTCCTCTTGGCAGCCGCCCTCCCTAATCTCTGCGCTCTGATCTGTCTCCCTGGGACCCCACCAAAAGTTCTGGTTGTCACGTAACCCCCTAGGAGACAAAGATTTCTGCCTAACGTATGCTTGACGGAAGTAGGAGCTTCTAGGTAGGTAGGTGGACAGATTCCTACCCAAAATCTTATTCCCGATTCTAGGGTGGGTGATCCCGATTCTGCACTGGGAGTCTTTCAGTATCCCCACCCCAAGGTTATCCGCATCTGTATATCTCCGGAGTGTAATAAGGTTTTGAAGCTTTAGGCTTTGTTTCCACTCCATTTCCTCGTTTTTATATTCTGGACGACATCTAGTGCTAGAAAGTGCAAAAAATGATTGTGAGCGCTTAGAGGGGAATGGGGATTTTTTTTTTGCTTCAGGCTTAGGATCCAAAGTGGGTTAAGCACTTCATCCGCCTTGCAACTCCTTCTAGTTCTTAGCATAGGCAAAATAAGCTCCTTGTGCCCAGCTATTGTAGAGGAAAGTACTTCTCCTGGTTTCAGCGCGGACCCAAACCCACAAATGTAACTATGTCAATGTCAAATGTCGTCCCCTCCAGCTACTAGAATATGTGGCAAGTTAGCGAGCGCGTTTCTGTACCTTTTACGGACCCAGTCTCGTGCCTTCCGAGCGCTGCCTGTAACGCTGTAGCGTTCGCGGTGTTTTGGTACACGACACGAAGAAGTACAGGTATCGATATTCCGGAGATTTCGCGGCGGACTGTCCAGAAAGCCTAAGCTGCCCACAGTTATTAAAGTTTGTCTCTATTTGCTCGTCACTGTTGCTCTCCATGGTTCAAGTGTTCTAGTGTTGGAACTTCTTATTTCCTCCTCTTAGAAGTCTCCCGTCGGTCGGCATCGGTCATTCAGAACCACTCTGATGGGCAGAGCATTTCTGAGGAAACGTCCATCACTAGAGCGTTCTCTGTCAAAAGCTGCGATTTCATTACTGACCGTAAGTCTGCATTATTGAATAATGTGCACGGTTGCTGTGGCTGTGTTCATACTTTGCGACTCGGGAGGATCGGTGTTTATGGGAAAAGGGCTATAAGGAAGTAAAAGTGTCAAATTTTCCCGAAACGCTAGCAAGTGCGCGTCGGTCGATAGGTGCACTTTCCTTCTCGCGTATTCTCCCACAACACCTATTTTCCCGTTAAAGTATGAGCGCGGCCAACATGGAAGTTTTTTTTTCAGAAAAAGCTTCCGATATTCTGCAAAGAGAAGAGGAATCTTTTATGCGTGGTCATGGACGATTTATTCCTGATGATCCGAGGTTTCCGAACTTTTACTCCTATTGTTCTTATACTTTTACTGTCTCGAGGCTTTTTCTTTCAGGTTCAACCAAAGTCATTTTATAAAAGAGAACAGCTGGGAACCGAGCATCATAGAGGAGTCCTCTTCCGAAAAAGCCGAATTCACCTGCTCTGAGCTTCCTGTTCCGCCGGTTAGTCACGCAATCTCAAGAGATTCTGCTTCAAAACAGATGGTAGATTTATCTGCAAGGGTCATCGTTCCCATATACGAGGGGAATGACCCGCTGCTGCAAACAAGCCACTTTCTTCGCTCAAAGATGCGCGGAAACTGAGCTGGACAGTACTTATGCTCGGTGCCGGCTCCATACTCCGCCCGCGCTATCGTCAAGGCGCGGCGCGTGTTTCGATACCGGGGTCCCGCAAAGAAAACATACTCAGCGGCAGAGAATATCCAGATGTGAGAGGCGCAGACAAGTGTCGCGAGAAGTGTCGCGCTTGACTGCGATTTGGCGTGTGGCTGGCCGTACAGCAGCGCGAGGTGGAGTATGGAGTCGGCACAAGGTCGTTCTACCTTTTAGCCTGGTTTCGGTACAGTTTTCAGCGGAGAAGCGCCATGCCACTACAGCTACGGACCCATTCTTTCCAAATATGGCAGGGGTCCGAATCTACCGCAATGAGTGTACAGTTCGTCTTAAGAACCCATTTCACGTTTACCTAATAGCGAAAACCTTCT